AAAAAGATAGTACTGAATGTACAAAGATGTCACAACAGACAAGGAATCCGGCTCATCTATCATTAGATTAGTGAGTTTCTCTTATTGACAGCCTAACCCTCAGTGACCCCTACTGGACAAAGATAGATAGACACAGAAGACTGAGTTTAAACAACAAAGAAAACCCTGTGTTGCTTTTATTCTAATAAAATTCTCACATATGGAACTTTCATTATACAAGTACAAGCTTGTATCAAAATCTATATACACCTGTAACATAGAAGGCAACAATGCTATGTCCAGTCAGCTCATTCCTTTCATGGGAAACATTATCACCATAAAGTTGGTTGGCTTCAACTGCCTCAACAGGATCGCCAGTATTTATGGTTTTGTGATGAGTCCTTATAGAGAAAATAGCAGACAGAGAAGGAGCAGTCACTGGCACACAACTCCTACCCTCAGTACCTTGCAATTTTTCCATTCCCCGAGGTGACTCACTCTTAACACAGCCCAGACTACTTGCCAGCAGTGAGGGCCACTGTGTGTGCCTGGTGAGTAATGCTTCCCCAGCGTGCATCCTCCCAGCTGCCTCTGACTGAACAAGTCATAAAAGGAGATCTGGGTAACCGTTTTAAGTTTTTTGTTTTTTTTCTGTTTTTGAGACAGAGTTTTGCTCTGTCGCCCAGGCTGGTGTGCAGTGGTGAGATATCGGCTCACTGCAGCCTCCACTTCCCAGGTTCAAGCAATTATTGTGCCTCAGCCTCCTGAGTAGCTGGAATTACAGGCATACACCACCACACCCAGCTAATTTTTGTATTTTTAATATAAACGGAGTTTCACCATGTTGGCCAGGCTGGTCTCAAACTCCTGGACTCAAGTGATCCACCTGCTTCGGCCTCCCAAAGTGCTGGGAGCCACCATGCCTGGCCCAGTTTTAAGAACACATGTCCCATCCCGAACACAAGGATAGTTCCTCTCAGCTCCCTGCAGGGACTCAGAGTTGTAATGAATTCCCTCTAATGGCAGCCAGGTGGCAATGCAGAAATGGGCAAAGGCAGAAAAGCCAATGAGTATGATAAACCCTTACTCTCTAAAATCCGGGGACCACAGCTTCTACTTTGGATAAAACAAAAAGTAATGGGCATGAAGCAGAGCCATCTGCTATCACACAGCATCACACTGTGCGGCACAGCCCTGATGAAAAGCCCAATCTCAGATGGAGGAGGCAGCCTCTTAAGTATCTGTCCATCCACCCTTAGGTGCCCCAAGTAGTGGATGAGGAAAATGACAGCATCTGGTTTTTTGATTAGTGACTGGCACATTAAACGAAAAATGGACAACAGTTGTAGTTAAACTTTCTCCAAGTAGATGTTCCTGGAGTATCTAATCCTTCAGACATGAATCTATGGAGTTAGTGCAAACATTCTGGAAATAGCTGCCAAGAGCTAGATAAGTGAGAGAAGTGGAGGAAGGTCTTTGACACAGACAATTTACTTCAAAGCTATCTTAAGCAATAATAATCCCTGATAAACTGTCAAAAAAAAAAAAAAAAAAAAAAAAGAATCACCCCAAATACATCATATCCTGTGACTTTTTAAAATTTTCTTAAAATCAGAGCACCTTCAATACAGTTGCCTAAATTTTTTCCCTACCTGTAATCCTTGGGTCTCTGATGCTCATATATGCCTGGGAAGAAAACTATTATCCAGCTCAGTTTTTGTTGTTGTTGTTTTGGTTTTTTGGTTTTCTTTGTTTTTTGTTTTTGTTTTTTTTTTTTTTGAGACAGACTCTCACTCTGTTACCCAGGCTGGAGTGCAGTGGTGCAATCTCAGCTCACTGCAAACTTCACCTCCCAGGTTCAAGCGATTCTCGTGCCTCAGCCTCCCAAGCAGCTGGGATTACAGGCATACCACCACGCTCGGCTAATTTTTGTATTTTTAGTAGAGCTGGGGTTCTGCCATGTTGGCCAAGCCAGTCTCGAACTCCTGGCCTCAAGTGATCCACCCGCATCAGCCTCCCAAAGTGCTGGAATTACAGGCCACCATACCGCCTCCAGCTTAGTTTTTGACAAAATCCAGAATATTCAAGATCCTGATTTTTATCAAAAAGAGGGAGAGAAAGAAAGAAAGAGAAAAAGAGAAACAGCACAAGGCAGTGGCTCATGCCTGTAATCCCAGTACTTTGGGAGGCTGAGAGGGCAGATTTCTTGAGCCCAGGAGTTCGAGACCACCTTGGGCAAAATGGCAAAACTCTGTTGTTATGAAAAAATACAAAAAGTTAGCTGGGTGTGGGGATGCACACCTGTAGTCCCAGCTACTCACGCCACTACACTTCAACCTGGGTGACAAAGCAAGATCTGTCCAAAAATAAATAAACGAAAATAAAAAATAAATAAATAAAACACAAAGAAAAGGAGAAAGAAAAGGAAAAGAGAAAGGAAGAGAGGGGAGAGGAGGGAACAAGAAAGAGAGAAAGAAGAGAGGCAGGGAAGGAGAGAGAAAAGAAATTACCTATGGCATACCTAATTACTAAAATCAAAAAGATATTTACAAAAATTTTCAACAAGAATGAAACAAAAAGTGCTCTCTGGATAACCTTTGATAAACCAGAACATCTGAATAAGCACAATCAGATTTTATCATGCATTTAGACATTACAGAACTAGAGACGATTATAGGTCCAGTTCTGTTCTTGGCTTATTAAATGACTTCAGGATCATTACACTGGATCTGTTTACTCATTCATAAAATGAATTGACATTCTAGAACTCTAAATTCTTTTCCAGCTCTAAAATTCTGTGGTTCTGTGAAATATTTAGTTGCCTAGGTACTATGTTGATTGTTATCCATAACAAAAAAGTTACAAAGCCAGTCTTAAGCTACTATCCTTTAAAAGCTTACAATCTAACTGAAGAAATATGTATACAGATAATCTTAACATAAAGCAGTACAGGCTGTGTCATGAGGAGGGCAAGACTATAAGAACTCAGTGAATGGAACTTCAGAAATTCAGTCAATGAAACGGTCATTTCCTGTTGGGGAAGTCAAAAAAAGGCTTCCATAGATAAGAAATATAACCTGGGACTAGAAGAATGTGTAGGATTTCAACAGTCTGAAATAGGAAGAGTAAACACTCCAGGAGGAGAGATAGCATGAGGAAGAGAATGAAAAAAAGAAAGTACAAGTGACACTAGAATGAATCACAGGGTTTGTGTATTTGGGTTGGGATTTGGGGAGGCTCAGAGAGAGGTAAGTAAATTGGGAAGATTAACTTCTGCCAACTTTAGGGTGTCCATCACAAATTTAATAAGCACATTTAGCTCCCTTTCAGAAACCTCAGAAAAGTGACAGTAAGAGAATTAAAATGGCACAAACCCACAGAAAATAAGAATAAGAAATAGCAACAAAAGTTTGATACACTGGAGTGTGGATAAACAAATGGTAGAAAACTTAAATGTCAGCTTTCTCTCTCTCTGCTAAGTGCCTGCAGGAAATGGGCAACAATAAGAAACAAGGTAAATTGTGCTGCAGAACCTCAGAAAGGCTCAAAAATTGGAAGCACCTGGAACCTCTGAAGCCTTGGTAGGAGGAGGCATGCTGCAGAGTAAGGTTAAAAGCAAGATCGGTTGAAAGTCTTCAGGCCCGTGTGAGGTCAGGAGCCAGGTGCCTCAGTGAAAACAGGGATATTAAATGAAATCTGACAATGGGCCGGGCACAGTGGCTCACGCCTGTAATCCTAACACTTTGGGAAGCCAAAGTGGGTGGATCGCCTGAGCTCAAGACTTTGAGACCAGCCTGGCCAACATGGTGAAACCCCACCTCTACTAAAAATACAAAATTAACTGGGCGTGGTGGCATGGACCTGTAATCCTAGTACTTTGGGAGGCTGAAGTGGGTGGATCACCTAAGCTCAGGAATTCAAGACCAGCCTGGCCAACATGGTGAAACTCACCTCTACTAAAAATACAAAATTAGCCGGGCGTGGTGGCACACGCCTGTAATCCCAGCTACTCGGGAGGCTGTGGCGGGAGAATCGCTTGAACCTGGGAGGCAGAGGTTGCACTCCAGCTTGAGTGACAGGGTAAGACTCCATCTCAATCAATCAATCAATCAATCAACTTTGACAATGAACGATAAGGCCCTTCCACACTGGCCCATTGCTCCACTTGGCCCAGAGCTCTAGCTGCCAGAATTGGCCTCCAGATGGGAGGCTGGCCAGTTCTTTCCTGGGGAAACCAACCTCCTCTACCTGGTTATTCATTAGGAATATACCAGTTAACAAGTCCCACCAATCAGCATTTTAGGGCCCAGCTGTTTTTTTTTTCTTTTTGGAGACAGGGTCTCACTCTGTTGCCCAAGCTGGAGTGTAGTGGCACAGTCTCAGCTTACTACAGCTTCAACCTCCGGGGCTCAAGTGATCCGCCCACCTCAGCCTCCATGTGCCACCACACCCGGCTCATTTTTGTAATATTTTGTAGAGATGGAGTTGCCCAGGCTAGTCTCAAACTCCTGGGCTCAAGCAAGCCACCGACCTTGGCCTTCCAAAGTGCTGGGATTATAGGTGTGAGCCACTGTGTCTGGCTAGGGCCCAACTCTTAAACGTGAAGATCACAAAGAAACATCAGACATTTTAAGAGAGCTTCTAACATGAAAGACAGAGACCAAAATAAATAGAAGGAGCTCAGAAGAAACAGAGACAATGTTGGATGCAGAGGAAAGCACGAAAGAAAGAAAAAGAGAAAGAGAGAAAGAGAAAGAAAGAAAGAGAGAGAGAGAGAGAGAAAGAGAAAGAAAGAAAGAAAAAGAAAGAGAGAGAAAGAAAAGAAAGAAAAAGAAAGGAAAAGAGAAAAGAAAAGGAAAGAAAGAAAGAGCCTCTAATTAATATCCTTAGAGAGCCTTAAAAGGAAATATTAGCCAGACAATTGCTTGAACCCAGGAGTCTGAGGCCAGCTTGGGCAACATAGCGAGACCTCATTTCTACAAAAAATAATTTAAATAATTTAAAAAAAAAAAATCTGCTAGAAAGTGATTTGCAACCTAGAACTCTATACTCAAACTCTTAATCAAATGAAAAGTAGAATAAGACATTTTCAGATAAGCAAAGTCTCAAAAACGTTGACCTCCCTTGTATCTTTCCTCAGGAAGCTAGGATATACCACAATGAAAAAATGGAGTACATCATGAAATGTGACAACATCAGCTCTGGGAAACATGAGATCCAACAGGGAAGACAGGTGAGGGAATTTCCCCATATGATAGTGAAGGGAAGTGCCAGGATGACAGCTTTACTAAAGGCAAGACAGCTTTACTTTAAGAGCAACCCATCCAGAGTGAATAAGAGAAAGCTCCTGGGGGATGTCTCCAAATAGACTATTGAATTAAAAGATTATTTGATGTTTCAACATACTGAGAGAGAAGTCTTAAGAGTCCCCATGAGAGAGTCTGAAGGTATGTACATAGATCAGTAAACAAGTGACAAAATATGGCAATTATTAATTCCAGGAAAAATTAAAAGTTAGTCCAGAAAGGAAATGTAATCATAGTATATTACTTAGCTCACCTTTAAGCAATATTTATATAATCACATTAATCTGAACACTGAATATAACGGCAATAATGCGTGACTTTGGGAAGAAAGGGGAAGAGAAAGTGTGTATGTTAAGGGGGTAAGAATAAAAACACTAAACCCTAATTTTGTGTAGAATATCAACAGATAATGTTCAAAACCAAAAAAAAAAAAAACAAAAAGAAACAAAAACAACAAGAATCACTAGTAAAAGAGAAAGAAATACATTCTGGCTGTTTTTGTGTGCAGAAAAAAAAGAAACAGAAATGTGGGCCAGGTGTGGGGGCCCACGCCAGCAACCCCAGAACTCTGAGAGTCCAAGGTAGGAGCATCATTTGAGGCCAGGAGTTCGAGACTAGCCTGGAGAACAAAACGAGACCCCATTTCTACAAGAAGTAAAAAAATTAGCCAGGCACAGTGGTGCACGCCTATAGTCTCAGCTACTCAGGAAGCTGAGGTGGGAAGACCCTTGCGCCCAGGAGTTCAAGCATGCAGTGAGCCATGATCACACCACTGCACTCCAGCCTGGGTGACAGAGTGAGACTCTATCTCTTACAAAAAAAAGAAAAGAAAGAATATAGTGGAAAATACAGATTATTTTTGTCATATGCCTCATGGTAATATTTGAACCTTTTAAAATAAGAACATGTATAATTTTGATTTAATGTTATAGAAAGTTGGACTGGATTATGAAAGATCTTAAATGACAAGGTGAGTTTGGATTTTATCCTATAGGTGAGCCCCCAAAAAAGTCATTTCTAGGCTGGGCGTGGTGGCACATGCCTGTAATCCCAGCTACTCGGGAGGCTGAGGCAGGAGAATCACTTGAACCTGGGAGTTGGTGGTTGCAGTGAGCTGAGCACGCCACTGCACCCCAGCCTGGTGACAGAGTGAGACTCCGTCTGAAATTTAAAAAAAAAAAAAGAAAGTCATTTTGCCCCCCACCAAAACACACACAAACACACACACACACACACACACACACACACAGAGACAGAGAGAGAGAGAGAGAAAGAGAGAGAGAGGTTCAGAATCCCATCCCCCACATGGATTCCCTTAACATTCTGGTTAATTGGGTTTCAGATATTTCTCCCTTATCCACTGCTCTACCTCATGATTAAAGGCCTTTAGCTCATAACCAAAGGGAGAGAGGACCTGTATATATTATGTGGCAGATGTGAGAAGATGTTAAGGTCAACGCTGCTTCTTGGGCTCAGACTCATCTGATAATGAGTCAGGTGTTAACTTCTGAAACCGCATCACCACAGATTACCCTCAGGGGGCTCCCAAATCAAATACACCCTAGGGAACTTTCCTCCCTGGGTTCTTCAGCACCTCAGGTTAAAAATCTCTTCTAATGGTTTGTTATTTCATGAAGAGACACAGGGAGATGGCTGCTGGCAGGCAGGAGGAATATTGCTAACTAACCCCCAGGGAAGTCCAGCACCCTTCTCTAAGAAATAAGTTATCTGACTCATTTCCTTCTTATCCTACTCCAAGGATCTGTTTACATCCCACAGTGTACCTAGTAATATTGTCTAAAAACAAAACTCATGATCAGCCAGAAGAACGTAACAATTAAAGACTGCATCAAGAAAGAAATAAAGCTTTCCTTCCTCCCTTTCAAATTATAGTTGTTGTTTTCTAACTTTTGCTTCTTGCTTCTAATATATCTTGGGTTTACTTTTTTTTTTTTTTTTTTTTTTTTTAAAAAGAAACTGGGCCTCTCTGTCACCCAGGTTGGAGTACAGTGGCTACACAGGCACAATCATGGCACTATTCTATAACCTCGAACTCCTGGGCTCAAGCAATCCTCCTGCCTTAGCCTCCCAAGTAGCTAGAACTACAGGTGTGAGCTACCATGCCCAGCTCTTCTGATATATCTTTCTTTTTTCTTTTTTTGAGACAGAGTCTCGCTCTGTCGCCCAGGCTGGAGTGCAGTGGTGCCATGTCGGCTCACTGCAAGCTCCACCTCCCAGGTTCACACCATTCTCCTGCCTCAGCCTCCTGAGTAGCTGGGACTACAGGCACCCACCACCACGCCCAGCTAATTTTTTTGTATTTTTAATAGACAGGGGGTTTCACAGTGTTAGCCAGGATGGTCTCAATCTTCTGACCTCGTGATCCGCCCGCTTCGGCCTCCCAAAGTGCTGGGATTACAGGCATGTGCCACCGCGCCCAGCCCTAGCCCTGATATATCTTAAAGAGAGGTAGTATCTTCTGCTTTTTTGGTGGTGTCCTATGCAGACTAAAAGTCCCTTTTTCCATACCATCTTCAGATGAACGAGTTATAAGCACAAAGGAAGCAATTGATACTGCTAAGCCATCTCTCCTAAGACCTTCCTTGAGAGGCCTGAAACCTGAGGCAGAATATTATCAATGCTAGCCTCTCTTTTATCTTTGTGTAAATGGCTAATTTAGCCTCTAACCTCATAATCACACAGACTCTGGTAGGTGCATAATGATGACCAGGAGCACTCTTTCACAATCTTAATATAAATAGGAGCCTGAATAACCTAACCAACTTTAGTGCTTTGCAATATGAAAAGATAGTAAGACTCACCCTGACTGTAACTCTCCATCCCACCACCCCACCCCACCCCACCCCGCCTTATCAGCTTCAACCACACAACACCATTGGAGGACCCTCTACTCAAAGAAGAAAAACACCACCACAAGACTTAACTGGGCTTTGAGCAGAGATCCGGCTCTTGCCAAAATACTAGATGGAACTAGGGTCTTTTGGCAATAAGGTAAAAAACTCTGAGATCTAACCTTCTGATGTCAAGGCAAGTTCCCCTCTCTAAATATGTCAGGGGAAATGTCATGCCTTCACCCCAGCCACCATGACCATGTAAGGTTCATTTCCAAGACACAGACCCTGCTAGCTATAGAACTGAGGCACAAAGTGCAGGAACCCACACACACCGCCCTGCATGTGAAAGAAGTCCATGACTAGCACAGGATGTTGTGAGCCATCTCACCCAGATAACAAACACAGTATACCCAGGACATGCATAGGCTCAACCATATGCTCTGAGGGCACATGAACAACGCTGCCCACACCAGGGCTCATGAAACAGGAACTAAAAAACAGGTGACGTTTCCTATGATTTATGCTGGTCAATCATTCTGACTGCCCAGGCAGCTACACCATTTAACATCTTCCAGCAACTCAATCAAGGTTCCTGTCTCCACCTGCTCCTGTGACATCATCCTGTCATTATATGTTCTTTGAAATTCCTTTGATGAAAAATGAGTCACTTCTTCCTGCCAACACAAGCCTGAGCCTCTTCCAGACATGTCATTCTTTGGAAATCCTGTGGGGGCAGGGTGCCACCCAGAGGTTTCTGCAGCTACTCTGTCTATACCTCCCAAGAAAGAAGGTCTCAGAGCAAGATCAAACATAGCCTAGGGAAAAAGGTGAAAATGATGAAAGAAGTGAGGATCTTGGTGGAGCTGGGAATGGGGCTGGGAAACTGGCTACTCCAGTGGGACATACAGTTGAAAGGATGAAGTAAGAACGAAGGCAGGGCACAGTCACACTTAAAACTTGGAAATGCTTCAACCTCAGAGTGCTCACCTTAAAAGTTCAGTTCCTGATATAAAGTGCCATCATGTATTCTCCTGCAAAAAATGATTGCAAACCTGTTTCTCACCTTGAAGATTTGGGGCAACAGTAACTTGCCTGCTCAAAACAGTGACAGTTCTGAAGCAAAGTATTCAAGACAACTTCAAGATTCTCAGTGGCAGCAATAAGGGGCCCAATACAAACAGACAAAATACTATTCATACCTACAAATCAGCCTAATATTTTTAATAACAGCTTCACTGAGATTTGGTTAACATAAATTCACTCTTTTTAGGTATACAATTCAACGGCTGTTTAAATATCAGTATATTCACAGAGTTGTTCAACCATCAACATTATCTAACTAGAACATTTCATCACCCCCAAAAGAAACCCTATACCAATTAGCAGTCACTTCCCATTCTCCCCTCCTTGACCCCTAGCAACCACTAATCTACTTATGGTCTCTATGGTTTTGCCTATTCTGTATAAATGGAATACAAGCCTTTTGTGTCTGGCTTCTTTCACTTAGTCTAATGTTCTCAAGGTTGATCCATGTTAGCATTGATCAGTACTTCATTCCTTTTCACTGACAAATAATATTGTTATATGGATATGCCACAGTGTGTTTTTCCATTCATCAGTTGATAGATGTTTCAACTGTTTCTGCTTTGGGGCTATTATGAATAATGCTGCTATGAACATTTATGTACAAGTTGTCTATGAATATATGTTTTCAGTTCTTTTGGATATACACTTTGGAATTGCTGGCTCATGTGGCAACTCTATGTTTAACTTTTTGAAGAACCATCAAACTGTTTTCTAAAGCAGGTGCACCATTTTATATTTCCACCAGCAATGTTGGAGGGTTCCAATTTCTCCACATCCTCACTCTCTTTTTTATTAAAGCCATTCTAGTGGGTATGAAGTGGTATCTCATTGTGATCTTGATTAGCATTTCCCTAATAACTAATGATGTTAAGCATCTAAGCATCTTTTCATGTGCTTATTAGCCATTTGTATATCTTCTTTGAAGAAATGGCTATATAAATCCTTTGCCCATTTTTTAATTGGGTTTTCTTTTTACTATTGAGTTCAATGAATTCTTTATATATTTTGGATATAAGTCTCTTATTAGATATATGATTTGCAAATATTTTCTCCCATTCTGTGAGATGTCTTCATTTTCTAGGTAGTGTCCTTTGAAGCACAAAGGTTTCATATTTTGATCAAGTATAATTTCTCTATTTTTTTCTTTTCTGTGTATACTTTCAGTGTTAGCTACAAGAAACCACTACCTAATCCAAGGTCACAAAGATTTACTCCTAAGTTTTCTTCTAATAGTTTTATAATTTTAGCTCATATATAGGTCTATGATCCACTTTAAGTTTTACATGTTGTGTGAGGTCAGGCTTTAAATTCTTTTTTTTTTTTTTTTTTTTTTTTTTTTTTTTGAGGCAGAGTCTTGCTCTGTTGCCCACGCTGGAGTGGAGTGGTGTGATCTTGACTCACTACAACCTCTGCCTCATGGGTTTCAAGCGATTCTCCTACCTCAGCCTCCCGAGTAGCTGGGATTACAGGCACCCACCACCACACCCAGCTAATTTTTGTATTTTTAGTAGAGATGGGGCTTCACAATGTTGGCCAGGCTGGTCTCGAGCTCCTGACCTTGTGTGATCCACCCACCTTTGCCTGCCAAATTGCTGGGATTACAGGCGTGAGCCACCACGCCTGGCCAAATTCATTCTTTTGTATATGGATATCCAGTTGTTCCAGTACAATTTGTTGAAAAGACAATTCTTTCTACATTGAATTGTCTTGGCACCTTTATCACAAATCAATTTACCATAAATGTAAGGGTTTATTTTTGGACTCTCAATTCCATTCCATTGATCTATATGTCTATCCCTACGCCAGTACCATCCTGTCTTAATTACTGTAGCTTTGTAGTAAGTTTTCAAATTTGGAAGTGTGAGTCCTCCAATGTTGTTCTTTTTCAAGACTGCTTTGACTATTCTGTGTCCCTTGCATTTTCACATGAATTTCAGGAGGAGCTTGCCAATTTCTGGAACAAGAGGAGGAAGAGGAGGAGGAAGAGGAAGAGGAAGAAGAGGAAGAGGAGGAGGAGGAGAAGAAAGACGAAAGACGAAGAAGAAAAACCCCGCTGGGATTCTGATAGGGACTGCATTGAATCTGTAGATTAGTTTCGGGAGTGTTGCCATCTTAACAATATTAAGTCTTCCAATGCATGAACTTTTATAAAGTAAAAGGCAATCTGAGCCACTCTTTACCAATAATCGGAAACTAAAATACTCAAAGTTCCTTATGCTCTATCAAATATTTTTTTTTTTTTCTTTTTTTTTTGAGACGGAGTCTCGCTCTGCCGCCCAGCTGGAGTGCAGTGGCCGGATCTCAGCTCACTGCAAGCTCCGCCTCCCGGGTTCACGCCATTCTCCTGCCTTAGCCTCCCGAGTAGCTGGGACTACAGGCGCCCGCCACCTAGCCCGGCTAGTTTTCTGTATTTTTTAGTAGAGACGGGGTTTCACCGTGTCGGCCAGGATGGTCTCGATCTCCTGACCTCGTGATCCGCCCGTCTCGGCCTCCCAAAGTGCTGGGATTACAGGCTTGAGCCACCGCGCCCGGCCTGCTCTATCAAATATTTAGCACACTGGAGACCCTTGATTTGGAGGATCCCCCCAAAAGAAGTAATATGCTAAAAAGATACTGATTACTGGCCAGGTGCAGTGGCTCAATGCCTATAATCCCAGCACTTTGGGAGGCCAAGGCGGGTGGACTGCTTGAGGCCAGGAGTTCAAGAACAGCCTGGACAACATGGCAAAATCCCATCTGTACTAAAAATACAAAAATATTAGCTGGGCATGGCAGCACGCGCCTGTAGTCCCAGCTGCTCAGGAGGTTGTGGCACAAGAATCACTTGAACCCAGGAGGCAGAGGCTGCAGTGAACAGAGAGCGAGACCCTGTCTCAAAAAAAATATACTGATTAAAAAGTAACAGAGTGTCTTTTGTACTGCAAAACAACAATTTTCAACAAGTTCCCAAAACAGCTGAATACCCTGAGACCTAAGAAAAAGAGACTTAGCCAACCATCACTAGGGCTGAGAGGAACGGCAAAGCCCCTGAGATCTGTCAGGTCCCACCGGCCTTGGCTCATTCTACCTTAGTAAAAGGAAGGATAGAATAACCATAATCCATTTCTCTATCATAAATGCATCAAATATGTAAAACAGTATCAAAAGAAGAAATTATATCTTCTTTGTGTGTGTGTGTGAGGTGGAGTCTCACTTTGTTGCCCAGGCTGGAGTCTAATGGCTCAATCTCGGCTCACTGCAACCTCTGCCTCCGAGGTTCAAGCAATTCTCCTGCCTCATCCTCCCCGGTAGCTGGAATTACAGACATGAGCTACCACGCCCTGCTAATTTTTGTATTTTAGTAGAGATGGGGTTTCACCACGTTGGCCAGGCTGGTCTTGAACTCCTGACGCCAAGTGATCCGCCTGCCTCAGTCTCCCAAAGTGCTGGGATTACAGATGTGAGCCACCGTGCCTGGCCTATATCTCCTTTTATATCAACTGGCCACAACTCATCCCTAAGAGAAATAAATATTTGCATTAGTACCAGAGTAGGGAACCAGAAATTGCATTAAAAATAGGCTTGTATCTTGCAATCTGGTTGCAAGATACTTTTTACTTAAATTTGTTTTAGAGCAGCTTTGAGGAGGGTGATGGAGATTATGGGGGGTCTAAGAGTCGTCCGAGCTCCTTATTAGACTGTAATAAAAGCAAAAGATAGCATAACTTTATTTTTTATTTTATTTTATTTTTGAGACAGTCTTGCTCTGTTGCCCAAGCTGGAGTGCAGTGGTGTGATCTCAGCTCACTGTAACCTCCACCTCCTGGGTTCAAGTGATTCTCCTGCCTCAGCCTCGTGAGTAGCTGGGATTACAGGTGCGTGCCACCACGCCTGGCTAATTTTTGTATTTTTAGTAGAGACAGGGTTTCACCATGTTGGCCAGGCTGGTCTCGAACTCCTGACCTCAAGTGATCCACCTGCCTTGGCCTCCCAAAGGCTG